CCGATCGTGCTCCTGGACCACGGACATATGTTCTGGTTGGAGGGGATGACTCAAGCGTTCCCTCCATGCCATCACAGAGTTTTAGTGGTCCCCTGCACGAAGCCCAAAGCTGTGTACAGGGAAGAGCCGCCAGAGATTAAGGAAGGAAAACTCCACTCATACACCCCTGCTCTCAACCTACCCAGAGGATTTTTTCCATTGGACCTATGTAGCCATGAGTTGGCTGCCAATGCCCTTGCACAACTCTTGGCCTTCTAGACCCCTGGCCTAGCTCCTGGTCTGAGAATCCGATCCTACTTACTGCCAGCTCTGCAGAGTTCCTAGCATACACACCATGTGCCTCAGGGGGCCCATGCAGTAACAAGAGCCTTCCATGGCCATTATTCAGGCCAGAGGATTTTGCCCCCCAAAGGCCTGACTCTTCTACAAATGGCTAAAGGCCTCCGCATTTTGCTGACATCAATAGGATTTGAGGATGCTCAGCCTCTACCCAGGAGAGCTCAGTGGCTTGCATCTATAACTGAACTCTGAAGTTTTCCCGCAGCTCTCAAATGCTTATTCCTGTCCTGCGGCAACTGTAGAAATCTCCCACTCCCACAGGACAAGCATCTCTGTATTTGTTCTCACTGGCCCGGGAGAGATGGTGTCATCCGTGGTCATGCTGGTAAATACTGATGAACATGACCGAGTGCAGAGTAAAACCTTGTTGTTGGCTGAAAACAAATTCATTGGTAACTGTGACAGGGTCAGGTCAGAAGAGTAAAGGAGAGTGACGGAGGGGAAGTATATTAGCCCCAGATTTGAGTAAATCTCCATTCCCAGCATTAAGTAACCAGTAGGAACTTGCCAGACTCAATAAGGGCAATTAGCATCTAGAGCCTATTAGGAGGTTTCCAGAGTCAAGTGAGACAGACTAGTCAGAACACCTGGGGCCAATTAAGAACCAGTTGAGACTGGTTAAAAAAAGCTCCTCTTCAGTTAGCTCTGTGTGGGAGGATGGAGCTGATGACAGAAAGTGTGCGGGAGAATCTGGGAGAAGAAAGTGCAAGCACGTACCAGGAGGAAGAACCTCCAGAAAGGAAGATGCTGGGGAACTGGTCCAGGGATTTGTAGCTGTCATACAGTTGTTACCAGAAACATTGCAGACTGCTGCTATTACAGCATCCCTGGGATGTAGCTTGGAGTAGAGGGCAGGCCCCGCTTCCCTCTGTCTCCACTAGCTCCCCATTTAAGTACTAGAAAGAGACTGTCTTTGGTGCACAGATTTGATCTATCCTGTACTACTTGGAGGGGCCACAGAGATGATGAAGTTTGGTTTCTCCTTTTTTCCCAATGCTGAGCAAAGCTGGTGTCTAAACCGAGGAGCCTGTGAGACAAGTCATCGGCCTGAAAGCGCAGAACCCGCTAAGGGTAAGGGGGAGCTTTGTCACCATAAAAAGCATAGACCAGCCATGTTCTGTGGCTCGAGCATGATCATATTCAATATTGAATGTTACTGTCGGTGTAGGCTAAAGGTCTGAACCTTTGGCTGATCTCTGTGATACGAGGCGTCTGGGGAAGGACACGCTACAAGTCAGACAGGATGAGAGCAAGGAAAAGTAAGGAAAATGAGGCCGTGAGAAAGCATCAGATAAGAAAAGATGTTTCCATTATTAAAAAATAACAGTTCATTCTTTACATTTAGTGTAAAATCTTCTGTAATTACCTAGCAGTTGGAAAGCAATTTGCAACAGGCTTTATTGTTCAGCATCTGTACGGAATTCGCAGAGAAGCATCCACCAGGGAATAAAGTAAAATGAGATACACTGCAGGGACTGTAATATTTAAATATTTGTACAATAGACATTGTAGTGAGGCTTAAATAAGCCATAATAACAATTTCACTTTTTTTGGTAGCTGTTTGTTGTTTATTACTTAAGAGGTAGTCGGCCTGACTCAAGCATCACTTTCTCCACAGAATCTAGTAGAGTTATACCAGTATATAAACCCACTGTCAGAGGCAAACTCACGTAGCAGAGAAATTCTGTCAGCTCTCATCAGAACTTTATTATTGCACATAATAATATCTTGTCATTTTTCTCTCCACATTGGACCCAGAAGGTTAAAGATGATTTATAATTTAACTAATGCCTTTCAGATTCACCCCAGAATCCCCAAGTAACTGTTTCACCCAGTGAAGTAAGTGAGAGTTATCACAGGATTTTGTGGAAACTTCGGGCTTGTCTACAGTTAAAGTGCATTAAAGTGCCAGGAGAATATAAAGTACTTGTGTGGACAAGTTTATCTTGAAAAAAAGAATGGGCTAAGCTAAGCAGGAATAAAGCATTCTTGTTCCAGAATAAGAGCGCCCACACATACAGCTGGTTAGGAATAGCTGATCTGAAGCAACTGCATGTGTAGACAAAACTCGTTCAGCACGTTACAGTGTATTCTGGGAACTGTTGGAGGAACGTCACTGGAGTCCAGGAAATCAGTGGAATTATACCAAAGTCAGTGAAGTAGCTTCAGATTTAAACAATTATAATAAAAAGGTCTGCCATCCTCATTGCTCACCTGTTGCTCATCTATAAAATGGAGCTAATAAGATGTCCCTACTACGCATGGCAGGAAGAAGATACATCCAGAGATATGGGGAATGCTCTCAGATAGACACTGGTAGGGGTCATGCGAATAATAAGATGAAACAAAACATTAAATCGGATTTTTCTTTAATTACACACAAGCAAACTGCAAAAATTGGTGTTGGCTGGTACCCGTGAGGGGTTGGGGTGTGGGCGTGTATGCTCCACTGACTCTCCCTGGAGGGGAATGGATTTGCTTAGCTGTATGTCCTGGTTAGATGTAAGGGTAACACGGTGCTTCATCTGGGCTTGGCAGTTCGTGGCTCTGGCACCTCTGGGCTTGTGGCATCAGTTATGAACGTAGAACACTGGCATGAGCCCCAGCACCGCTCTCGTTGCAAAGGAAGCGGCGTCGCGCTTCAAGGACTTTTGTTCATTTCAAGTAGGAGGGGCGGGGCTTCAGAAAAGGAAGACCTAGTTATATCCCCAGTGCTGCTTTGATGTTCGCTGGGGGCGTGGTGTGCAGAGTGCTACTCTGAAGTTTCTAGAATCCCACCTCTTCCTTCCGTCGTTTCCCGCTATGCAAATAACTAATGCTGATTTAAATTTTCCCAGACAAATATATCCCTATATCCCCTTTTGCAGCCCAAAGCCAATTGCTATGGGCAGGGGTACCAGCAGCCTCCATGGGTCCCTTGGGCAAAGGGTGTGTGTGGGGGAGGGGGGGTGGCGCTGTGCTCCTGGAAGGGGTGGGGCCTCAGTCAGAAGGGGTGGGGTCAGGGACAGCAGCTCTCAGCATCGCCCAGAGCATGGCACCCCCATCCCCGCCAGCCTTTAGTGCTGCCTGGATTGCATGGCACAACACTCTGGCGGAAATTTAAAGGGCCCAGAGCAACAGCGACAGTAGCTGGGAGCCTTGGGCCTCTTCGAATCGCTGAGCCCCAGAGAAACTGGGCAACTGCCCCTTTTAGTGTGGCAGGCCGGCTATGGTCAAACTAACCCCACCCCTCCAAAAATGGGGATGTTATGATGAAAAGGCTGCTAACTCCTCATGAAGGAAGGGATGCATGTTCCCTCTAATGGCCCTGCATCTAGACTGTTGTTTCAGAGCCCTCATTTATACGTTGTTGTGCTACCTTCGCCTGCCTAATCATGTATGTTCCCACACCTCCACCTCATTGTTATCCAAATGTCTACAGTGCCCTGCCGTTTGCTTTAACCCACTGCCTCCAAGTGTGACGGGATTTCCAGGGGGAGGAAAGGGTTGCATTTTCCCCAACTATAATCAAGCAGTGATTGGATGGGCCTGGGGTTATTAGGCTGAATAATTCCCTGTTTCAAGAGAAAAGAGGAGAAGTCAGCTAATACTCATGGAAATATAATGGATGACGAGTTAAAGAAGCTAGTGCAGATTCTCTGATAGGGAAGGCTGCTACCACATATGCTCAGGGAGGTTGTAGAATCTCCATCACTGGAGATATTTAAGAGCAGTTTGGATAGACACCTGTCAGGGGTGATCTAGATGGTGTTTGGTCCTGCCATGACTGGACTAGATGGCAGGGGACTGGACTAGATGATCTCTCAAGGTTTCTTCCAGTTCTAGTGTTCTAGGATTCTAGGATTCTATATAGAAAGAGGAATAAAATTTTCAAATGAAATCTCACCACTTTTTATTCTGTTAACTCTCAAATTAGGGATCACCGTGACCACATAGCTGGCCCGACTACACAAAGGGATTCTTCAGCTTCTTCGTGGGTTCTGTCAAATCTTGGTCCTTTGACACCGGAGGATAAGAGAACCTTTCCGACACAAGGGTGTGGCAAACTCTTCCAGAAAACTCATTTTAGTCCTGTGGCCATCGTGGAGCGAGAGGCTGTCCATAGGAACTTAGCAAACTGTGAATTTCAGCAAAAATGTAGGGTCCCACTCAGTGACGTCCCTGATACCTTTTAAAAATCCTGATTTCAGGGCTTGTTGCCTTCTGTTGGCTCTTTGTCAGTGAGTTTCAGCTTTCTCAGCATCTCTACTGCTTCCATTGATATCCAGTAGATGGTGTCAGCATACAATACATTTCTTTGCTGTTTCTTTCAGTCGGAGGGTTCCATCAATTTCATGGACCGTATTTCATTATTACCTTGACCTCCTTTCACCAATTCTTCTTAAGATTTGAAAGCTTTACTCTAGTAAGCTTATTCTGTTTTTCAACATTCCCTTTTGTATGATACAGTTTTTATCAATTCTAAGGTGAAACGATCATTTACAAGGAAAAAAAAATCCTTATAGTCTTCTACATTGAATGGACACACATTTTACATTCTTTGATTATATCTAATAGCTTTCATTCACTGTACATATTTCAAGGTTCATCATAAGATGTGAGAGCAAGACAGATTATTCACGCAGAGAAATGTATCTCATTCAAAAGCAAACAAATGGGCAGCTTCTAAATTGGGGTGAAAGATTTTTATTATATTAGAGTTCTTGAATTATCCAGAAGTTTGACCTGAAACTTTTCAGCTTCTTGAGACACCAGCAAGTTATTCCTAACAAGTTTAAACCTATTCTTTGATTGTTTAATCTATTCTGGATATTAATTACCATATGGCATATAGTAGGGGACTTGGCATTAGAGGAGATAGTAACTTTTGGTTGTCATGTAGCAGGGGTGGAAGTCTTTGGCTTGAGAAACGAACAATAGCTTAAAAATTCCTTATCAAGCATCAGATTTTTCCTTTCCTGGAAATTGCATATTTTAGCTTTATCTTAATTAATGTTCTCTAGACAAGATGTGTCCCACCTGTTGATTCTCATTATCTTTAGCTCCAAGAGGAAGCTAAGGTTTGAAATATGCATATTAGCCATTGCCATCTGATAGTTAAAAGGGCAAGAGAGAGGGAAAGTGCCAAAAACATATTTTCAAGGCATTTTTTAAAAGGCTACACAGCTTACTATTCACCCAGTGCTCCAATAACCTCCTGTATTGAGCTGCCTGTGCCAAAATCATTCGAGTGTCTCTTCAGTCTCTTTTTAAATTCTGTGTGGTTATTTGGCTTGTCAGTTTCCTGTGGCAATAAACTTCACAGACAGAGATGTGTCTAATGCACTTGCATTCGCAATTTCCCGTGTTTAGCACACACCAGATAGCTGGTGACTAATGTTTTCTTTTATCTTTTCCATCAATGTGTGGAATAATTTTATGTGCACCAAGGCATGTGCAAATGTGTACTACCAGTAGGAACACAAAACCTAGCAGTGGGCACTCTGCTAATTAGTTGGGCTATACTGGAATCTCTTTGGTGTGGCTGCACAAGTACATATGGTGGCAGATTCAGCACTGAAGTGGCTTCCAGAGGAACACAACTTTACAGGGAATGCTGCTGATAACAAACAACCTCTCTGGCTTCAGAACCTGGTCTCTTGAGGTAAAGAGAGACAAGATGAGTTATCAGACACACAGGGTGAAAGTTTTTAAGCACTGGAGAAAAGGAGAGCACTGTATTTCTCTCTCCTATGAACATTGATGAATAACAATTTCATGTCTCCTGCAAAAGAAAGAAAAGCATGAGATTACATCTCAAGCATGAGATTATTACATTTTGCATTTTATGCCCTGGCAGAAACTAAAAATAGACCTTGATAGTTGCTCGGTGCCTTTCTAATGACTTTTGTTTGAGGTAAAAATGGGATTTGGTTCAGAAAAACAGAAGGTGGGAATTAGTAACATCCAAGAAAATAACTGAGTGGAAGAACATGAGTAACTGGAGTAGAAGGAGCAAGGAGTTTGCTATCAGGTTTTCTTTTCAGGAGGGAATACACTGGGAATTCATTTGGCAGATCCTTTAGAGCTTTCCGAAGGCCCCACATACCTTATGGGATATAATAATATACTCATGGCAATTTAATCAAAATCCTCCCCTTCATTAACACAGAGAAGAAATATCCTTAATAATTCTATTGCTACATAGTCATAGCAAATAACTTTACAAGTTACATTTGACAGAAAACAGGTGGGAAAAAATGTGTGCTGGGAGAAAAAAAAAGGAAGCATTTAATCTTCAGGCCAAGGGCAGTCAATAAAACTTTGTAGTGAGATGGAGGGCTGCAAAGAAGACATTTGTCTCTACGTTGAGTCTGAAGGATACAGACCGATCAATGGGGACTGAAAAGCATTTCACTGATCGTTCTACTAAGTAATGAGCAAGCAGCATGCCATGTTGCCATTTGTACACCGCATGGTCCTGCCAAACTGCTCAAGGAAGACAATGTATGTGACAAAGAGCATCTTACACAATAAACCTTACACCAGGGTCTGGCGATGCCAGCGCCCAAAGAAGTCAGAAGCCTGCTAAATGCATGAGCCCAGGTGTGAAGTGAGTCAGTCAGGTTACATTCCCTAGAGGAGAGCAGCCAACAGGTGTCCGCAAAGCCCTTTCTGAGTTCGGTGAGCGCACAGGACCGAGCTTGGGTACTCCAATGTAATGAGCTGGACACCCTGAGCAAAATCATGGCCCTATTAAAGTCAATAAGTGTTGTGCTGTTGTGGCCAGGATTTCACCTCCTTTTATTAGCTCCCTCCTGCAGGCAAATACAGCACTGGAGTCCTTCATTTTTGACAGGGTGGGTTCAGCCAGTCTCCCCCTAAGTGTGACAATTTCTCACAGTAATCGATAGCTGGCAGTAATGCTCATGTGTCTACATTCCCAAGCCCTCTCCTGGCTCTCACACTGCACTGCTTCCATACACGTGGGTTTTCTCTACAATGCAGAAATGGGCAATCTATATTCCCACAGAAACAACAGATGCCAACGAAACACCAACTGCATGCAAATCAACATCATTTAGCAGCTGGAAGAGAGAAGCCACACTGAGCACTTAGAATAGGTTCAGGACATTTATCTATTTGGCTACCATTGCCAGCCACAGATGCACACAGCCTGATTCTGGGCGAGGCATTGCATACTAAAATATAGGTAGTCCTGGCTTTCTTTGTGGAGCCTATTAAAAAGATTGGGAGCGGGGAGTTCTGTTCCAACACTGCTGCTCAATTGAGTCATCTTTGTTACAGTGCTTTGACAGATGCATGAGTTCTGAAGGAAAACAATTGGACAAGAAAATGCTGGACCCAAAGTGAGATTTTATTGGGTTTTATGGATGGGAAACTGAGGCAGTGCGCAGAGGTGGTGTTGCACCCCAGAAGTAGCCAGCAGCAGGTTTGGCTCTCAGGTGGAGGCACATAAGCAATTCTGCACGCTGCCCTGGCCCACAGGCACAGACCCTCCCCCAACTCCCATTGGCTGGGAATTGGCCAATCATAGGATCACAGAATACTAGGACTGGAAGGGACCTCGAGAGGTCATCGAGTCCAGTCCTCTGCCCTCACGGTAGGACCAAATACTGTCTAGACCATCCCTGCTAGACATTTATCTAACCTACTCTTAAATATCTCCAGAGATGGAGATTCCACAACCTCCCTGGGCAATTTATTCCAGGGTTTGACCACCCTGACAGTTAGGAACTTTTTCCTAATGTCCAACCTAAACCTTCCTTGCTGCAGTTTAAGCCCATTGCTTCTTGTTCTATCCTCAGAGGCCAAGATGAACAAGTTTTCTCCCTCGTCCTTATGACACCCTTTTAGATATCTGAAAACTGTTATCATGTCCCCCCTCAATCTACTCTTTTCTAAACTAAACAAACCTAATTCCTTCAGCCTTCCCTCATAGGTCATATTCTCTAGACCTTTCATCATTCTCGTTGCTCTTCTCTGGACCCTCTCAAATTTTTCCACATCTTTCTTGAATTGCAGTACCCAGAACTGAACACAATGCTCCAATTGAGCATTTCCTGGGTTGTTCTTATTTCCCTTTTTATAGATGGGCACTATATTTGCCCTTTTTCAGTCCTCTGGAATCTTTCCTGTCTCCCATGATTTTCCAAAGATGATAGCTAGAGGCTCAGATACCTCCTCTATCAGCTCCTTGAGTATTCTAGGATGCATTTCATTCAGGCCCTGGTGACTTGCAGGCATCTAACTTTTCTAGGTGATTTTTAACTTGTCCTTTTTTTTATTTTACCTTCTAAAACTACCCCCTTCCCACTACAATCCCAATGGGAGTGTAGAGTCAGTGCTTGGGTGGGAGTTTGAAAACCACTGGCTTAAGGGTCTTTCCCAAGGTCACCGAGGAAATCTGCAGCATGGTGGGAAACTCAGCGCAAGTCTCCTAATTCGCAGGCTAAAGTAGCCCGCCCAGCCCACCTGACTATCTTCCCCCGCCTAGTTGCATGGAATGCTGCAGCATAACCATTAATAGCTTCTCGACATGGAGAGCAGTCCATTCATACTGGCCTGCACAGCCGTCATTCTAATTATCTGGAGACAGTTCTCTGGCAGTGCCAGCAGGCATGCTAACAAGGCCCCGCGTCCGAAAGCAGGTACTGCTCAAGAAAATGGCTTTTTTAAATACCTAGCGTATGAGCCTCAAAAATGGCACTGACATCCGATGACTTGCAATTATAACCATACATCTTCATTATAACTGCTCATTTTCTGTATTACAAAATGATCATCTCGGCAGTTTAATGAGAATAGCAGTCAGTGTTTCCATGGTAAAGAATTTCAGATCGTACAAGAATTGCATGAGTCAGGCTAAAGGTAAATAGACTATACTCCAAACTCACTGTATTAATGTACAATAAAATGGACTGCTTTACTGTGCGTCAAATCTGTCACACCAATCTATAATATGACCCATGTTTTAAATAAAGCAAGCACAAAGTAAACTCATAGCATGGGTGGAAGTTGATGCTTCAGGGTCCGCACCTCTCTCAAACTCCATTCACTAGACAGGCATGTCTAGTGGTTAGAGTATGGGACTTAGACAAGGAGTTTAAATCCTAACTGTGCTGTGCAAATTGTGACCTTTTCTTGTCTTTTCTAGGGGTGGAATTCTAGCCCTATTCGGGTCGACGTGCATTCTGCCGTTGACTTCAATGGACCACAATGGTGCAATCAGGGCAAAATTCCCCTTGACTTCAACAGGGGAAGGACTGGAGCTTGCTGTGACATCCCATTCATTTCTGTGGTGTTAGTCTGATAGGTTCTAAGAAGAGAACTGAGGGGAAAAAGACTCCATGCTAGGAAGAGGAGTATCTTGTATAAATACAAAAATCTGCACTGCTTGCAAAGGGAGCCCGTGGAAACATATCTGGCCAAATGCATGGTTCTATGTACACTTGCTTCAGTGTCAAAGTCCTTTTCACCCACTCTGTGGCACAGCCAGCTGCTTAGAAAACAGAGTGTTTAGCTGATTTACTAGTGGGGAGATAGCGGTAGAGTCAAACTCCTAAAATGGGTCTTTCCCTTCAATTCACATGACATTAAAATAGAAAAAGAATGGGAGGAAAAGCAAAAATAACAAGGAAATGGCAACTTAATAGTTGTGTAAGTCCAGCTGCACTCCAAATGCTGTGCTGAGAGTGGATGAAATTAAAGTGCAGAGAAGCAGCCTGGGTACATACATAAATTGTCCTCCAATTGGATTAAAGTTAGGAAACTCAAAATGTCCTGTATGTGCAATAAGTTAAACACCAAGATTCTTAGGCAAGTAACTCAGCTGATGCGTGAGCAGGAAAATACAATCAGAGAGGTGACATTTCTATGGGTAGGAGATAAGAGCATATGATAGAAGAGTAGCGTGATATTAAACAAAAGGAAATTGAAGTTTAAGAATAGGAAATGCTTCCTAATATTGATTCTCTCCTAATGCCCGATGTCCATCACTGAGGCATCTGAGCATATCCAGAGTGAGACAATAGATATGGGACCTGGAGAAGGGATTACAGAGACCAACACTGCATTGTCTGAAGGTGTGAGGAGGAGAGATTTGATAGGACAGATTTACTAGCTTTGTTCATCTCCAAAGTCTGTTAGTCTCTGGTACATTGGCATTATTGCACTGTCTCCCATCTGAACTGTCATCCACTGTATTTGGTTGTGATTTCCACCTATGGAATTATGTTCTTTCTGCTCTTTGCTGGACAAAATGGGGCTTGGTTCGATTGAGTAGCCCTCAAGACTTTTAGGTCCCAAAGCTGCAAAATACTTCCACAGAAATAACCCCCTAACAGTTAGACTATGTCTAAAAAAATTTAAAAATTAATGGAGATTGCCTATGTCCTAGAACTGGAAGGGGACCAAAGGTCATCAAGTCCAGTCCCCTGCCTTTATAGAACCATCCCTGACAAATTTTTGCCCCATCTCCCTAAATGGCCTCCACGAGGATTGAACTCACAACCCTGGATTGAGCAGCTTAACACTCAAGCCACTGAACTATCCCTCTCCCCTAACTACAGGCTTCTTGTGTGAGAAGCTTTCTGTGGAAGAGATCTTCTGCAAAAACTTCTTGTGCAAGAGAGTGTCCACACTGCAAAAGCATATAGAAAAAGCGATGCATTTTTGTACAAGAGAGCATCCAGACTGCCTAGATGCTCTCTCGCAAGTAAGCAATGATTGCTACAGACAGAATGGCCACCAGGGCACCTGTACTTTTTCCTCTTCCCCCTTCTTGCGCAAAAACTTCCTCTTGCCTGTCCACACACATGGCTTGGCAAGCCCTGGGGATACCTACACCAGAAAAAGCCCTCTGTTCTTTCATTTTACTTGTGCAAAAATGTGCTTGAGGTGTGGATGCTCTGTGAGCTTTTGCGCAAAAAGTCTGTAGGGTAGACATAGCCTTGGGGTGGTTAAGCACTGGAATAAGTTGCCTAGGGAGGTTGTGGAAACTCCATCCCTGGAGATATTTAAGAGCAGGTTGGATAGACACCTGTCAGGGATGATCTAGATGGTGCTTGGTCCTGCCATGAGGGCAGGGGACTGGACTTAATGATCTCTCAAGGTTCCTTCCTGTTCTAGTGTTCTACGATTTAAGGATTTGCTCGGTTGAGCACAATGTCGAAGGAAGATTTTAACAGTTAAGTGGCAGTGCTCGGGTATAGATTGTAAGCATTATTCTTTGTAATCAGTGTGCACAGTAACCTCCCCCTCTTGGATTAGATACAGGATTACTGACATAATTTAGAACTCTCTCATATGCACCCTTGTTTCTGTAATTGTAACAGGCTACATTTCAGCGCACACAATTCCTGGGGATTTGGGGATCATGGCTCATTGCCATGGTTTAATTTGCCTTCTCACATTTTCACCCTATATCTATGGTGTATGATTAACCAGAAATATTTGCAAAAACAAATTCTGCTTTCTTCAAACTTTGGGTTTCTACCAGAAAATGTTCAATTATAAACTAGAGATTGCACATTTTGTGGGTAATTTTTGTTTCTTTTTCAGAAAATCCAAACACATTTCAAATGCTTTTAAAAAAAAATGCATCAAAATTTTTCACGGAGGGGGAAATGTCTCAATCAGTTTTAGCTAAATATTTCAAAATGGACATAAGATGTGTTCATGCAAAAGGAAGCAAAGAAAGCAAGAGGCACTGAAGGAGCACACTGATGCCCAGACAGAAATACAGAGGAAGTAATAAGAATAAATAATGCTTAAGGAACAGACCTGGCAACAGATTTTGCCAGGCCATGGGCAATGGGAGGGGGATCTGGACTGTGGGACCCCACAAGGGGTGGGGCCATAGGTGGAAGGGGCGGGGCTAAAGGCAGACAATTGTCATTACTGCCTGGACCGTGCTGTGCCTTCCCCACCCAGCCCTTAGCAGGACTGTCATTACAGCAGTTTATAGGAGGGCCCCAGGACAGTGACACAAGGATGATGGCCATAAGGATAAAATGGAAGCTTTTGAGAATCCACACTCCAGCTTTTGTTGTTGCTGTCTTTTTAGTGTTTTCTTATGCTTCATATTTTATATACAACAGTTAGGTGAAGACAAATCAATTGAAGAACAGCAAAGTGAAAATAAACTTTGTTGAAGCACTTAAGTTGCTGGGAGCCACCTACCTTGACATTGCAGCTGATGGATGGTGCTAAAAGGAGTCCTCATTCTCCTTCTAATCTCTGTGTTCTTCATCAATCACACCTATCCTCTGTATCCTCCTGGCACTGCTTGCTCCTCTCCCTTGCAGCTTCTCCTGCTGCTGACCTTTTCCTTAGCCAGGGTCATTGGGGGGGGGCAGTCTGCAATGAAGAAAGAAAGAAAGAAAGAAAGAAAGAAAGAAAGAAAGAAAGAAAGAAAAAGTTTTTTGCGTTACTGTAATTCCATGTCTTTATTCTTAACTCAGTGACAAACATTTCTCACACTGGGTACCTGAAGCCTAAAGACATATTTAGTCATATCAAAAGTGGACTGATTTTTCACAGGTACTGAGTACTTGCAGTTTCCATGGCAATGAATGGATGCTTAGCGCATCTGAAAATCAGGCAACTTTCTTGGGTGTCTAAATGGGGCTGCATTTAGGTGACTACCTTTGAAAATTTGGAACCAATACACTCAAAAGTCCTCTGGCTTTGATTAGCTGCTTGATTCACAGATCCCCCCGAAAAAAGACTCTCTGAAGCTCTCCTGAAAGGCTAAAGGATTGCAAACTGTGGAATGGGGAGGAATATATCAAAAGCCCTTGGCTGGATACCGATGGCCTGATTTTCAGAGGTGCTGAGGTCTGCCTGACTCCCTTCGACATCAGTGAATTTGACGTGGTGCTCAGCGCGGCTGAAAGTAAAGCCATTGGTTACCTGTATGGAGAAGGGCAGTGGGCTTATGAAGCCAGCATTCTTAATGAACAGATTGGCCCTTAATGAACAAACATGCTGCCTGCACCACTAATTTTCCAGGAAGTGCAGTGCCCAGGGATGGGGCCAGATCGTCATGATCTCAGCTCCCACTTCAGCACCAGATACTAAGAGGGCTTAGCTCGTTGGGTGAGAACCTGATCGTCTGTGTCTTGGTGGGAGTTGAGCTCTTTTGAGAGGCTAGGGTGATAATATGTCCCATTTTGGCTGGTACGGTACCTTCTTAAGCCCTGTCCCAGCTGTCCCTATTTTTTGGACATTTGTCCTGTTCCTGCCAACTTGATCAATTAGGAAAAGCAAACAGGACAAAAGAGGGCTTAGCTCGTTGGGTGAGAACCTGATCGTCTGTGTCTTGGTGGGAGTTGAGCTCTTTTGAGAGGCTAGGGTGATAATATGTCCCATTTTGGCTGGTACGGTACCTTCTTAAGCCCTGTCCCAGCTGTCCCTATTTTTTGGACATTTGTCCTGTTCCTGCCAACTTGATCAATTAGGAAAAGCAAACAGGACAAATGCCTCCTTTTGTCAAACAAGTTCGGGTGCAGAGGAGCGTGGGGGGGGGGGGGGGGGGGAGGGGGGATCCCGCCC